GTTAAACCGCTGACGCAAAACTTCTTTCATCAACGCCTGTTGACTGTTTCAAGCGGACGACCGCTCGGCAATAAACACTTTCGAGCGTCTGTCGAGCTGTACAACTCGTGGCATGCTGCAGGAGTACCACCCGCAAGCAATCGATACATTGCTCGAGGATGGCAACACAACCCAGCGCTACAAATGAAGACGAACTCCGAGAACGCTGTCACGCTCAATTTCTACCGACCGCTTCACAAGCAAATCAAGCGTTCGTATTACATCGACGGAAGTGAAGCGTACTTGATGTATCCCACGCACGAGCAACGGCTACCTCGACGACAAACCGCATCTGCTTCTTCCGCTGACGTTCATGTTTCTGTCGGATATCGAAGAGTGGAATCATCGAAATCGAGAAACCCCGGGATATGAAGAGATTCGTCATTTCAGTCTTCTTCCAACCAACAAGGGCTTGGAGTGCAGTCATTTCACGAAGTGTGATCTCGGACTTCGTGCGTTGTTAAAGCGCGCTGGCATTGCTGTGCCAAATGAAGACGTTTGGATTGCGGAGGCAGACTCTTGGTGGCGGAAGCTCTTCAAGATCGAGAAGTTCGAAACTGTCAACCGCAAGTTTTCTGGTGTGAATGAGACGGACGGCAAGGCTGTGAGCATCGTTATGCGCAAGCCGAAGCGAGAGATCGTTGAAACTGCGTTTGACGAGAAGGACTGCGATGTGTTGTGGGATCTTGATCCCGGTCGACGTGATCTGTTTGTGGCGACGAACCAATTCGGTGAAAAGATCTTCTATAAAGACGCTCACTACAAGAAGAGCAACCAGAAAACGAATGTCTGGCAAGAGAATTGTCCCGACGTTTCTCGAAGCTGTGCGCAACATGCCGACAAAGAAGACTGCCTCGCTCGAACAACTTGAAGCTTATGTGAAGTTCATGACTCCTCGTATGGACTTACTGCTGGAGTTTCCCATGCACGAGCCTTTTTGCAAGCTGAGATTCCGCCGCTACATTCTCGCGAAGAAGAAACTGCGTCAGCTTTGTCAAAGGTTGATTGCTCAAGCGGGAAGGCGAAAGATTGTTGGCTTCGGTGACTGGAGCAACACCGACGTGAGCGGGCTAATCAAGGAGTGTCCGGCGGGTCCAGTTAACCCATTCCAACGAGAGCTGAAGAAGCACTGTCGCGTGGAATCGATTGACGAGTTTCGAACAAGCAAGCTTCACTCGGTGTGTCATTGTGAAATGAAGAATCGGTACAGCAAGCGTCTATGCAAGAAGGATGGCGTCGAGCGTACGTTGAAGGTTCACAGTGTACTCCATTGCACCAACAATGGCTGTCACGGTATGACTGTGAATCGAGACGAGAACACTTTGAAGAACATGCTGATGCTTCTGATCGAGTGCAAGCTTCGTAGTCAACCGAGACCACTCGCGTTTTCAAGACCGAGAACGTGAAAACAACAGCAAATGTCCACGGGTGCCTCGATGCAGCAATGTGTCGAGGAAGCTCATCGCAATCTCGCTAGGACAGCCTGCTCGGGCATTATTTTTTTCCTGTTTGCTCTATAGAGTAGGTAGGCGCCAGAGAGTCGAGAGAAATCCTCATTTCAGAGGGTGACATTCTCGGTGAAAAGCATAATAAAGGTAGATAATTTGAGTCCGGCCAGCTCGGAGCCGCGGCAGCAGAGGGTTCCCTTGGAGGGTGGAATGGCTACCGCGATTACCCCAAAAAAAAAATAAGAATTCGATGAGTACTGTGATTTTTCCGGGAACGATAGGTATCACGACTTTCTGGATGTTCGCATCGCTGCTTAGGCAAACGCTAAGCTATAAAAACTGTTTTCAGTGTAAGTCGTAGACGATACCAATCTGCTCTCCAAATCTCGCATGTTCTCCGTAAAAGCTGGTCATCTCTAAAAGAAACTTCTTGGTCAACAAGCGTTTTTGTCCTCTCCGCCGTGTTCGGTTGGTTGTGAACTTCTCCTTTTGCGTAGCTTCAACCGTCGACAACGACGACTGAAGCAGCTACTACTTTTCATACATACAATGCATCTTTACCCACTCAGCTCCTTTGCCCAGACTTATTCCACACAATATAAACGAGAAAATAGCACAGGAGCGACAAAAAAAACTCTTGAGGCCTCGCTCGATACTACTACTGGTATCAAAATCAGCTAACAACGGCACCAAAGAGCCATTCTAAAATGGCTCTCATTATCTTTAAACACTACGGGATGGAAGTCATGGACATTGCCCGCGCCTGGCAACAGCGGACGTCATGCAAAACAAATTGTACGGTGCAGTTTCCTACGCCACGAAGAGCTTCTTGCGAAGACGGCGGGCAGGTGCGTTGCATTTCGTATCTTCCGTTGAAGGAGCTTCAGGAGTCGAAGGAGCATCAGGGGTCGAGGGCGCCTGGGTAGTCTGGGTGGTAGTTGCTGGCGTTTCTGCTGCCGGAGATTCCTGCTTTCCCGTCGATGAGCCTTCAGTCGACTTCGTCTCCGTCGATGGAGAATCCTGCTTAGTATCGGAATTTCCTGATGCTTCAGCTTGCTTCTCATTCTCTGACGCTCCGGAAGACTCGGCTTCCTTCGACGAGCCCTGTGTCGTCGGCGTTGAGCCGCCTCCACCACTTCCTTCCAGAGGCACGCAGTTAACTGAACAAAGCAAAGGATTAGTTGCACCGCATGACCGATCACTTTACAAGTGTACGTACCATAGGTCTGCCACTGCGCGTTCTGGAACGCCAGCCAATAGATCGTCAACAAGCATTTACCGTTGCACGATGAAAAGTCCACTGGCATATCGGACGTTTGTTTCGAGCCATTGGGGCCACCCTTGAACTCGTCCTCGCAGTCATCACCGTGGAGAACCATCTTGTCGTCTAGGTAGATTTCACAAGGGCCAGTGTGGGTGAAGCCGCCGCCCTCGTTGCCATGCCACTTGACTTTCCCGTCGGCCGGAATTGGCTGGGGGTCCCCATTTTCCAGCGTGTTACCACATTTCTGGTCCTTGACCATGTCCAGCACCACGTCCTTCACAGACATGCCCTTCTCCTTGGCCATCGCCTTAAACTTGCCTATTTGGTCGCCACCGGATCCGATGTCCCAGTAGTTGTCGACCATAGTAATCCATCCAACATTCGGTTTGTCCTTCCACGACGGCTTGGGCTGTTCGAGGTAGCCATGAGCTTCAACGCGTGAGGTCAACGCCAGTACAATGGCGGAGGAAAATACGGCCCCAGCTAGCATCGGATTTAGCTTTCCAGGTGCTGTGCAGGCTGCAATTTGAGGAATGAAAACGAGCAATAGCGTCGCTGAATATATTTCGGCGTGGATAGACACGACAGTCTTGTTCACAAGCGAATGGTTTCGCCGTTTGCGTGAAGTGGTCAAAAACAAAAGTCGTGCAACAAAGCTCGTAATCCTTAACGTGCAATCGTACGATAAAAAAAAATGATCGTTTCCTGAACAGTACTGTAAGTTACCGAGGCGCAGAGAAAAGCACTGAGATATGTCAAAACCATTTGAACCTTGAGAAGCCTTGGCATCAGTATTTGTTAGTACTTTTTGAAGTAGTATTGATATGCCGTAGAGTGTTAATGTCATCAGGTTGTGCCTCGTAAAATTACACTTCTCACTCTAAAACTAAATCACAAGCTCGCTTAACAGCTACTATGGCAACTGCGTTAACTCACCGGGATACCGTTAGAACTTCTGTAGAAATGCGTACGAATTACTGTACGATTAACCCCCTCGTATTTCGATTCCCTGTCTGTAGCATCCATAATTCTTTGATCAAATGCATGGCAATTATAACAATCCTTTTGACATATTTCAATGCTTTCCACTGATTTATGATAATTAAGTGACCTGCACAGCATGGTAACTCATTCCTACTTGCAATCCGGCACCTAGTATGTAAAGGTTCGGGCAGCATTACACGATTGTGCGTAAGCGTTCGCGGTATTTTTTCTAAGAAAATCCATGGATATAGACGATCCCTTCGGTAGTAATCCCTAGTTAGCGGTTCCCGTTCACCAGTCACATACAAACCCAAGATATTATTCCCTCCCACGTCTCAATCGTAAAATGGAATACATCTGAAGTCAAATATTTCTATTCTGGGGTGCTTAACTAAGGAAAAAGTCATTACTGTACAGTACATCCGAAGAAATCTAGCAAAAATGTTGGTGCTTGTGGCCTTGCTTTCTTCCAAGTTCTTCACGGAACGTGCGCTGCATTTCTCGCAATCCGCTCACCGATCTATTCGGTACGCCAGTCGCACCTGCACGAACTAGAAGCTTAGCGACCTACATGAGATGCTCTTTAATTGCTTCTGGCTCAAGGTTCTCCTCAATCCTACGCTCCATATCGTCCTCGTCCAGGTTTTCTGAGCCGTCCTCAGAGCCATCTACAGCCATTTCATGGTCAACAACTCCACAGAAATCTTCATCTGTGGGATCTTCTGCAACTATGTTCTCGTCCGGCGGGTTCAGCAGCTCGTCCACGGACATTGGGTCCATAACATGTAGACGAGATAACATCGTCGCAAGCACAGCGGACATTGCATCATCTTCGTCTGGATCATCGAAGACGCAATTGTAGCACTTTAAATGCCCGGTGTGCTTCCGGCATCTTGCGAAGAGGGAAGGTGAAAAAAGCCTGGATGCGGTGCACTGTTCCAAACCAAAGGACAGTTATCGGTGCAGGGCTCTGATATTGCATCATTTTTTGGGGAAACGTCAAGCATCAGCGGCACACACAGCAACAGTATCTGCTGCTGGAGCGGCTCTTGGTCATAGTTTAACGAGCACGCACCAGAATGTCACTGCACGAACAATCGTTTCACCAGCAGTGACAACACGAGTGGCGCTGTCAAACTGCTGATTCTTGTATGAAACTGCGATACCAGCATTATATCAGCAGTCACCAGTAGTTGTAGAAACCCACATTGGCACTGTCAGGGGTATATTGTGCGACGCATTGAGTGACTCTTTTCTTACTGAAAATATATATGGTTTACATGAGGTTCTGGCTAAAAATGTATGTATAAACGTTTTGTCTCTGTGGCGTTAAATGTTTTAATATTTAGTTTGCTTTAACTCGGAATCACTTATTCTACTAAACATATTAGAGCTATGTTAATAGAATGAAACCCGCCAAAGATCGTGTGTTCACTACAACTAGAATATCTTATTAGCTGTAAGATACCTTATTTCACAGACTCACTTCAAAAGAAAAAAATCCTCGTTTAAAGGACAGCTCACAAATCGGTCCATGCTTCCAAAAATCCATCCAGTGAATGACAAATGTAGGACGCAAACAGTAGATACGACCAGTTTGGATCTACTGCACAATCAAACTCATACAAGAATTCTCTGACAGCCGGGACTTAGTCCGTTGTCGACTTCTGGTGGAGACGACGCGCTCGAGCATTGCATTTCGTATCCGTTTCCGTTGACGGGGCTACGGTCAGTTGTGCATCAGTTGTCGATAGGGCTGCAGTTGCTTCGGTGGTGGCGATAGGAGCTTCCGTTTCTGGGGCGTCAGTCGTCTGTGTTTCTGTCGATGGAGCATCCGTCGATGGGACTTCTGTGGTCTCAGCCTCCGCCGCCGTAGATGAAGAGGTCACCGAAGATTCAGGCGTTGAAGTCGATGTTGTCGTCGATCCGCTTCCAGTTAGCGGAACGCAGTTGACTGTGGAAATCGAAGCAAGTACTAGTAAGTATAACATATAGAAAAACGAGCAGAATTTCTACGTACTGTACGCCTGCCAATTCGCGTTCTGGAAGGCCAACCAATAAATCGTCAGCGTGCAATCTTCGGTGCAGGATGAGTAGTCCACTGGCATGTCTGATGTGACTGTAGAACCCACATCGCCACCCGGATATTCGTCCTCGCAATTGTCGCCGTGTAGTACCATCTTATCGTCGAGGTAAATCTCACATGGCCCCACGTGGGTGAAGCCACCGCCACCGTTACCCAGCCACTTGGCCAGACCATCCGAAGGAATCGGTTGGCGAGTGCCATCCGCCAAAGTGTGACCACACTCTTTGCCAGCTCCGACCATATCCAGCACGACATCTTTTACAGTCACGTTCTTCTCTTCGGCCATGGTCTTGAACAAGCCACATTGGTCTCCTCCCGACCCAATGTCCCAGTAGTTGTCGACGTTGATAACCCATTCCGGATTCGGACTATCTTCCCAACTCGGTGAGGGTTCTTCGAGGTACCCGTGGCCGTTGACAACCGAAATGAGAGCCACGAGGGATACGATGGACGAAAGCGCGATTGGAGAAAACATCGTGTTGAGCTCTTGCGGTTTCTTGCGAATTGCAAAGTGAGCTCGTCTTCGACCTCCCCGAAATGAGCTTCTCGATTGGCACCTTTACACAAATTACTTGTAAACCGTCAGCAGCATGATGTTACCATTGATCGCGTGCCGCAGCGTCCACGTTATTCGGTGTACAACGAGAATAATAGGGACGGCTCGTCGGACGAGGAAACAGTCATACCGCCGACTGCTGCAGCAGAAGGAGTGTGTAGCTTTCGACCAACATAAAAACTAATGAAAGGACAACTTTATCTGGACTGGTCTCTACTAACTGGATTCGTTTGCACGTGGATTCTCGGTGAGGAAATGCCACCAGTGCGCTTTTACTAGAAGTTCTTTACATGTACTGGAAGCGTGATAGGAGATGCTTGTAAAAGCGGTGCAATTCTGCTGGTCTGGTCTCAGGGAAAAGTCAGTGGAGTCGCTCTGCCGTGCACGATCAAAAACTATCGAAATCGTCGTGTGCTTCAAGTTTGACTCGAAATATTAGGCACATTGCTTAAGAACTGAATGCTGGTTACAGTATAACCTTACTGCAACATTTCTTGTGCGCCCATGGTCTTACGAAGAGTTGTGACCAATTTGTTCGGAGATGGTAGCGATCACATGGAGAAGTTCTGACGCGATCTCTACCATGCCCGAACGAAAGGCTTTCTCCGTAGCGATATAGCCAATGATGCAGGTTTTGAACAGTAAAACCCAGTAAATTCTTTTTAAACCTCCGATGTCCAGAGTTAAAACTGGAGTTTTTCCTTTCTATATAACAGATTGCGCTGGAACGTTACTTTCCCCAATGTAATTCCTAAAATCGACAAATATCTGGTAGGTTCGTAGTAGTTGGCACGACATTGTCTCGTGTTTCCGTCACACCAATGTTACACCTTTGGCTCTATGGATACGAGTACCCAAATCTAATTCAGGCAGCTATATCGGATACGCGCACGAAGACAGAAACACAATAAGTGCAGTCACTTTATCCAGACACTCTTTGCATCTCCCTTGTGTCCCAGCGCAATTACGTCATTCGAAATCTCAGATATTACTCTATGGGTAAAACTTTACGGTAAAAACGTCAAAAATATAAACTTGGGATTTGTAAGCGTCTAAATTACTTGGACATTGTATTTAGATATCATTCGGCTTTTCGTCTCCTCTATGGATTCCTCGCCCTCCGCCGACATGGAGGCGCTCAAGACGCTGTCAGCGCAGCCTCACCAGCACATGTTCGCCTCCATGCTGCAGTGGGTCCTGGAGGTCGGGCCGCTCTTCCAGACGCTCATCGAGACGCAGACGCCCCGCGGCATCTTCCGGCGTCACAGCAGCTCGTCCAAAAAGAAGCAGAAGAAAGACAAGAAACGCGCCAATTTCGCCACAACCCCGTCCGACAACAGCCTCACGCAGACGGAACACGCAGATCTCCACCAATTATCGCCGGACATGGCGACTGCGCTCTTCCACCAGGTCGTGGAGAGCTGTCGTGAGTTTATGGCTACATTCTCCAAGACGCACAAGTTCGTCTTCCACCTGGCCAGTATGAGACGGATGTACTTGGATTTAGTAGCCATAGGAACAAATCTGGATCGCGCTGTGCTCTGTGCGGGTCTAAATGCTAAAGTTAACGCCCGGGACTGGAAGAAACAACTCGACGCGGATAGAGAGAAAGAGGAGGAAGAATTGAGTGCAAGGGCGGCTAAAAACGCTCTACCGTTCGCACGCAACATGTTGCCACACGAGCCCATGGAGGCCTTGACGCTATTAAAGTTCGAGATCGACTTTTTCACGCCGGGAAACACCGCCAAACATGTGGCTAGTATGAAGAAGGTCTTCTTCTCTGTTGTACGCTCTTCGAACGGACGTGTAGCAAAGATCCCGGACTGGTATATCCCTCCGTATGCGGTGAATTATTCACGGGACAAAGTCATGTATGGGTCCGTGGGGACAGCCCATCGAGGTGTCTGGATCGACAGGAAGCCCAAAGATGGCAAGAAACCTGCCAAAGATGATAAATCCGCGGAACAACCTCCCAAGACTTATAGAGTCGTGGTCAAGCGGATTTTTATCCATGCGGATGCTATTGAACTTTTCCGACAAGAAGTGGAGGCCTGGTTCGCCATGGATCATCCCAATGTACTGAAATTGTACGGCGCTTCACATTGTAGTCGCCCTGCTCTTCTGGTGTGTGAAGATGCCACAAATGAGTCGCTAGTTAAGTATCTGACTAGCCAACGCCAAGTTCAGGCGGACAAGAGATGTAAACGAGGTCAAGCTGAGCAACCGTGGCCGTATCGGAACCAGCGCCACGCACTGTGGAGCTTGTTTCTCCAAGCTGCCAACGGCTTGAAATATCTGCATGAAAACCACAAATTGGTGCACGGCAACTTGAAAAGTGACAATATTCTAGTCACTGCCGATGGTCAAGTGAAGTTGACGGACTTTGGGCTCGGTATACTGGCGCTGCAGAACCAGGCGATACTGGATAATACTTTCCACGAACTTGGTTCGAGAGCGCCCAATTGCTGGAAGCACAAGAAGCTACTGCGTCGTCCTTCTTTCCAAGACGATATCTATTCATTTGGAATGTGTGTCCTGGATGTTCTGGTGCCTAAATTGTCGTCTATTGCGCCTGAAGAGAAGGCGTTGAGACGTGTGGGTGATGAAGACTTCGAGCCACTCGAGAAGAGCGTGTTGGAGCTCATTTGTGATGACACACATAGGAAACTGATTGAAGACATGTGTAAGCCCAAGCCGGAAGAGCGACTGAAGCTGGCCGATGTGATCGTACGCATGGAAGAAATGCGCGCTGCTGCTGCAAGTGAACCCGTGGATTCGAGCGATTGCTGCATGCTTTAAGAGTGCAGGAAGGCGCGAGATTTTATTTTTTTATTAGTTTGAACAATACGTAAGTACCTTGGTCATTATTGATGCGCATGGAAGCGTGAATAATCACAAGTCTGAAGTACAATAGCACCCGTGGATATTATATTGTTGAGAGTATGCATGAAGAAGCGGTGGATGCCTTCGCCTAAATCATTCCCCTTGTATTATCTTCGAAGCCATTTTAACCCTTCAAATTCATATAATTTGCGCCTGAAGTGAAGCAGGAGCTGCTCATCCAAGTTGGAAGATTCCACTAACCTTAGTGGGTGAAGCGTCATGGAATTATTACCCATCGACAGAATTCGCTGCCATTGAAATTAGGCTCGAAAACTCTTCACGAATCGCGACATCACCATAATTGCCTCATTATCAGCAAGCTGAAGAGTACAAGCCAATTTATCGTTGCTCCAAAATAATTAGTAACATGGTAAGTTGCTTGCACACAATGAGATCGAAGTTAAATAAAATACTGAGCTGAACAGTGGAGGTTGGACAACAGCTTCGTCTACTACATGGCATCCATAGAGGCGCTATTTACGAGATACCTATGCAATTTTGTCGGCGTCTATCGGGAACCTCGAACAGATCGAATATCCAGCAAAACAACATGTTTAACGTCACCTGCATGCAATTATACGAGCAAAAAACGTCACATAAAACGTGAATTTGTCATTAGCCAAAATGCCAGTTGCTGCCCACATCGGAGGAGGTCGGGCGCTGCTGCTGCTCGCCGCCAAGCTCTTAGTCGTCTTCGGCTGCGCCGTGGGCGTCGTATGGGGGATCTTCACTCTCTTAGTCCGACGTGTTCGCGAACATGACGCCGCTTTGGGGCTCGCAACATCGAAACTGGACTCTCTCTCCATACGCAGCCTCTCCTCGCTCGAGGAGCTTCAGCGCTCCCACGAGACCTTCCTGCACGTGTTCGCCGTGCAGTTTCCTCTCGCTTTGACGTGCTTCACGAGCGTTTACGTGCTCAAACAGGTAAATAACCATGTATCAACTTTGTACTTAAATAAGTGCGTATTTTAAGAGAATCTAACTTTCTTTTATCTAGACGTTTGCCATCCCGGGATCAGCCTTGCTTAACGTATTTGCAGGCGCTATCCTACCCTTATCGTTAGCGTTCCCATTAGTCTGCACTCTCACGGCATGTGGCGCATCCTGTTGCTTCCTGTTGTCCAAGAATTTGGCGTCCGAGGAGATCGTACTGAGCGTAAGTGAACGCTTGTTACCGGGCAAACTACACAAGTTGAGACACAAGATCGAGGACGCAACAGCGAGAGGCCAGTTGCTCTATTTGTTGCTGTTCCTGCGGGTTTTCCCATTCACTCCCAACTGGTTCCTGAACATGGCGAGTCCGTGGCTTAAAGTGCCGCTGAAATTGTTCGCACCCTCAGTGGCACTCGGACTTTTGCCCTACAACTTTATCACAGTACACGCAGGCGCTATGTTGTCTTCTCTTCGGAGTACCAGCGATCTGTTGGACCCACGAACGATGGGATTCCTCATCCTTCTGGCGCTAGGTATGCTCATCCCTGCACTACTGAAGAAGACAAAAGACCGGGAAGCGAAGAACAAGACGGAGTGAGAACACTGAGTTGTTACTACTTAGACCAACTCGTTCGATGGTTTCTCGATTATTTTTTTTTCCTGTTCATTTGGACTATTTTCTTTGTGAAGATTGTTGTCAAAATTCTGGATACAACGTCGGATCTGGTCGGCTGCTGCGATGCATTTCTCGAGTTGTAGTGGAGCTAGTTTGGCCGAATCAAGACCGGTACGTGGTAGAAGCCGCAGTCGCGACGAAATATCTGTAATTCCAAGCAGTATTCCTCGAATTTCGGTATCCAACTCGGGTTTCTCCTGCCCATTTGGAGCAGTGGACTCCGATGTCGATGGAGTTTGGGCATTATTACTTAACGCGTCGTTAATTTCTGCTTGCAGTTGTCTCTGCAGCTCGAATGAGTTTTCATCGTCCAGGTGCACGAACGTTCTTATCAGGTCTCTTAAATTTGATATCGAATTCTGCGAACTTTTGGCCCAGACATGAGAGTTTGAGCCCAGCATTTCTTCAATTTTGGCTGCAATTTCGTCGTTGTAGCGTATGGAACTCTGCTTCTGCTCCTCTAGAGCTGTCATACCAGTCAGAGCAGGTGTTCTTAACTTTGACGGTGGCACCAAGTTAGCACGGGCGAAACAATTCTCCAATAAATCATCAGGCACCTGACTCCAGGCCTGTTCCAGCAACCGAGCAGCATCCAGTAACGTCGGTGTGTGCCCAAAATGCACACCACCACTGTTGTCGCTTTCCGCTGCCTTGAGAGCCGCCTTAACCTCTTCTGGAGCATCATAGTACGACATCACGCTCTGCACTAGGAGATCCTTATACTGTGCCTTGAGTGCATTTATCACACCCATTTTCAATGGTCTAGTCCACCACGTCTTCGGATTTATCATCGCATCCACTGCAGACCGTGTTACTGGTATAGGAGGAGGTAGAAACACCAGTCGAATGCTGTCGTCTTCGAAATTCCCTTGGTGTCCTGGCCGCTCTCCATCCACCACCAGAAGCACCGGTTTACTTGTACGTTCGCGCACGAACGGCATAAATACGGAGCTGTACCAACTGCCGAATGTCTGTCTATCCAGCCAAGCTCTCTCTTGTCTGAAAAATGGTAACGGGATCGTCGAACTTGTCGAAATTTTACCAATTAAACTGACAGGTACCGTCAATTTTCCAGTAGAATTGCAGCACAAAACCAACGTGACTCGATTCCTGTGTTCGTGTACTGCATCAAAAGGTAGAGTATCGTAGAACAATGAGGTCTCTTCAACTGTGAAGATCCATTCGGGGTCATATTGGGTCATCAACTTGTGCAGATCCTGCAGACTGTTGGTCTCTCTGATTTTATAATCATCTCTTGTGACTTCTGCAGACCCCACGTAAGCTGTTCGAACGCCGTATCTCTTGCTAAACTTATCGTACCAGCCCCAACTGGCCTTGAACTGGTCGGGACTGATGCCCATGCTTCTTGCCACCATTTTAGCCTTGTCGATTATAATAGAGGGCGAGATTTCGGCCTTGGCTCTCTCTCTAGCATCAATCCAGGCTGCTAGCGTCTTCTCCAGTTCCGGGAACCGAGGTGCAGGCCGTCGATGTACATGAGCTCTCATGTTTAATACTGCGGACGAGCTGGCTCGCGCCTCGATGTCAGCAGCTGCGTTGATAATTCGACGAATAGACTTCTCGTCTACACCGAAATCTCGCGCGAGCTGGCGCATTGACAGTGGAGGCGACGAGTTCTGGTGCTTGTGGATGATCTCCAGGCGCTGTAGATCGTTAAGCCGCGGGCCGGCTCCGCGGCCACGTTTCCGCTTCGGCTGATCCATCATAAAATATGGCGTTCCAATTGCTCGTCAAAAGTAGGAATGGTAACTGATGCACATCAACTTTACACAAATGCTACGTTGTTTACACCATCTTCTCTTGGATATCATTATTCAAGTCGGAAGAGAAACGCGAACATGGCTCCAGGTGCGTCGGGAAACAAGAGAAGCATACGCTGTGGCTTAATACTAATGCAATTGCTACCGGCAGGCGGTCGAGTGCGCAAAGAGCTCGAAGAGTGTCAGAAAGACTCGCACTTGTCGGGCGTCACGGCTGTACCCGTAAACGCCGCGTCGCTTTCAGAGCTTCGCGGCTCCATTAAGGGACCCGAAGCTACGCCGTACGAGGGCGGCCACTTCGAGCTGGAAATCGTCATCCCACCCAAGTAAAACACTGCTCTAATCCTCTTATCTCCTAGGTTTTACACACTAATTCGTCGCTCCCAGATATCCGTTCGAGCCGCCGCAGATGCGCTTCTTGACCAAGATCTGGCACCCCAACATCTCGTCACAGACCGGTGCCATCTGTCTGGATATCCTCAAAGACGCGTGGTCACCCGCTTTAACCATCAAGACGGCACTATTGTCCATCCAAGCGCTACTATCCGCAGCCGAGCCAACGGATCCACAGGACGCCGAGGTGGCTAAAATGTATCTCCACGACCACGAGCAGTTCCTCAATACTGCGCGCTTCTGGACTGAAAGTTACGCAAAACAGACCGAAACAGGAGACGACGCTGCACTCTCCAGACTCATCGACATGGGTTTTCCCGCTGTAAGAAAAAAAAATCTGTTTTTTTCTATTAAAAAAGCTAACTTTTCTTTTTTACTTACAGGACAAGGCAAAGGCGGCACTACAAGCCGCTAATGGAGACGAGAACGCTGCGATCGAAAAACTAGTGAGCAGCATGTAACTTCCTATAAGCGGACGGCTAGCTGAATGTACAGATGACTCGCTAGCTCTTGCAGGAGCTTATTTTTTCTTAGATTTTGTGGTGCGACTCGCTGTTTTAGCAGAAACTTTCTCGTCCAGTTTCTTCTTGAGCAGTTTGCGTTTGTCACCCGTGAGTTTCTTGTTTGACACGTCACTTGATCGCGTCATTTGCTGCTGGAACGCGGCGCGTTCGAACTTGCGCACAGCGTCACCACAGCCGTGAACTTCAGGCAGCGCGTGGTCGTAGCAGAACTTGAGCTTGCAGAACTTACAGACACTGCCCAGCATGGTGGTATTCTTCTTGCAACGACTTGAGCTCTGGAACGCGCAGTTTGAGCTCTTGTTCGCTTGTCGAGTGAGGAATTCCAGTTCATCTTCGCCGTCTTTCAGGTCGTCGATTGGTGCAGTATTGACAGTTTTAGGCTGACCTTTTTTCTTCTTCTTCTTACTTGACGTGGGTGCTGGTGGAGGTTGACGAGCCAGTCGACTCATGTGCAGATCCTTTAAAAGAGAGTTCGCAGCCTTCAGATCTTCGGTCAAACTGCTTGACCCTTCTTCACCGGGGTCGATATTACCTTCCTCGTTCTCGTCGTCGGAGCTGTCACTATCAGAATTCATTATCTGAAACACGCTCTTCACTGCTACAGGTTTGTCTTCCACTTCATCTTTCTCCTTTTCCTCGTCAAGAGTTACAGTAGCTATGGTTTCCTTAGCCTCCATAGCCTGTGGGTTCTCGTCATTAGGCGCAGCTTTCTTCGCTTCAACCACCTTCGACGCACCAGCAGCTGCCTTCAGTGCTTTGTTAGATTTTTTAACCTGCTTGAGCTTCGTGGTTTTCGTAGCCTTAGTATCTGCTGCAGATTTTGAAGAGGACGTCGTAGGTGCAGTACTAGCAGCTACGCTTAACGACATGACCAGTTGTTCATCCATCGTTCCTTCCACAACATCTTCATCCAAATATTCTTGTGCACTTCTGTACTCACCAAACTTCTCAAAGTGTTTCACCAGAACAGCCAGAAACTTGTGCGACGAGATAGTATCAGTGTCACACACCACTGCAACATGTCGTTTCGCCCGTGTAATGGCAACATTCATGCGACGGTCGTCAGCAAGAAACCCCACTTGTCTCGACGCGTTGGAACGCACCAGACTCATCACAACTGCCTCCTTTTCGCAGCCCTGAAAGCCATCTACAGATCGAATCTCAAGCTTCGGATGGCTCTCGAGTAACAGAGCCTTGAGTGTCTGTACCTGCTTATTGTACGGCGTGATCACAGCGACTTCCTCTTCCTTTAATCCTGCCTCTAGCAGAGCACTCACATGTCTCGCTACGACGCGAGCTTCTCCTTCATTAGACTTTGACAGCTGCATACTACCAGTCTCATCGTCATTCGAGTCTTCCTCAAGCTCACAGCCAGCCGTGTCCAATAGCAACAGTGTAGCACTCAGCAATTCGTCCTCTTTAGAGATCGAAACATGCGGCAACTCGTGCAGCTTACGCTTCGCTACCCCTTCAAAGCTCTTGAGCTCTCCCTTGTACATCGCTTGGGAGCTCCATTCGCTGATATCTTCGTGCATTCGGTACTGAGTGTCCAGCATTTTTACGATACTCTGAGTGTTCGTATAGCTCGCGATCCGATCGAACAGCGTCACTTCTAGTCCTTTAGCTGCTGCTGTCTTGGACTTAATAGTAGGAGGAAGCTGCAAGTGATCACCGGCCAATACACAGCGCTTCGCCTTTAGTATAGGAATCCAGCAGGACGCCTCGAGTGCCTGAGCCGCTTCATCAATGATAACCAAGTCAAACGTCACGTCCTTAAGCAGCTTCGACGCTGCGCCGACATTGGTCGCAAACACTACGTTACTGTGTCGTACAATATCTCCCACCACTTTCTGCTCTCGAGTTCGAATCTCCTTGCGGTTGGTCTTCATCTCGCGTCGTAACTGGTACCGTAAACTCTTATCTCTTGTCTTCTGTAGCTTTTTCTGCATTGCAGTCATTTCTTGGCGTATATCATTGACAATTTCCGTGCCTTCTGCACTCTCAATCTTGGCGTCTAAACAGTATTTCAGTATCTGCGGCAACACACGTGCCGGGTGTCCGATTCGTGTAAGTTTCAGCGTCTTGCCAAGCGTAGAGCATGTACTCGCTAACTTATCCAGCACATTATCCACTGCAATATTCGACGGAGCACAGACTAACACCTTTAAGTCAAATCTGGTCACTGCTTGCAGGATAAACTCCACTACTGTCGTCGTCTTGCCTGTTCCTGGTGGACCGTGAATTAAAGCCAAGTCTTTAGAAGCCAATGCAAGCCTGATAGCCTCCACTTGAGACTCGTTTAGACCCTTATTAAAGGGTGTGATGTCTGGTAACGGTGTGTTCCAGCTGGGTTCTCGCTCCGAAAACACCACGTCGACTACCGCTTGAGCAGCGCCGAACTCAAATTTGGTCATTTGGTCCAGTGCACTAGTCAGTTTTAGGAAGGTTGCATTGTTCACTAGTCGGTCTAGTGTGATGCCTGTTGCAGCCAATAATTCCACTTCGTCCACGTCTTCTTGGTCGCTATTAACAGCCACAGAGATGCCTCGTTCCTCGACACGGGAGACTATTCCAGTGGGTAGTTTGCCGCCCGTTGGAGTGTTCTTTTGTACTCGGATCTGCACTAGATCTCCCACTGTGAATTGATGCGGCTTTGCCTGTCGTAAACTGAGTGATGGGAATGAGAATTGCAGCAGTGTGCGTCCGAACAGACCCGTGGAGCAGCGAGACAGCGTTAAATGTGTCAATACGTTCGGGTTTTCGTTGTCGTCGAGCGTTGCCAGCTCGTCCCGCATGGTCTGCACCTCCTCCTGCTGCTCCATAGACAACAGACGACGTGTAGACGCCAGCCATGGCTCCAGAGCCACCGGACGCAGCACACGGGCGCCCGCAGGCGCGTCCATGGTCTTGCTCTTCTTGGTCATTGGATACGTATCACGCCTAACCAAATGTTCCTAAAGTTGGCGGGACTATATAATTCGACCAATGAAGGGCGTTAAAATAGTCCTTGTTGAATTAATTATTTTGACCAATGTGAATCAGAAACATCTGCGGCATAGACCAGAGCGACACCTCATCAATAGCGGATCATGGCAGTGGGTACGACGGACACGAACGGGCTGCGGCGCCGACATGTACAGGGCGAGAACCAGGCGAATGACACGCCACGTGCAGATTCCACGCCGCGGCGCGCTCCGCGGCCTCAGAAGGGCTTCGTAGAGCTGCTCATGTCTCCTCTGAGCTTCGTTCTGGGCGATGGGGAGCCCGAAGATCCGCAGGCGGCAGCGCGTAACTTCGCGCACAGTCTGCGGCGTCGCTACGGCGAAGATGTGACGCCGCGCTTTGAGCACACGTCGTTCCGGGACGCGGTATCCACTGCTCGTACTGCGTCCAAGTTCCTGTTGGTGTTCTTACACTCGAACATCCACGACGACGCCGACACGTTCTGTCGGTAAGAGCACTACAGTTAGAGAGCATTGCTCTTGATTCGCTAATCATGTTGACGTTGACGTGAACAGCAAGGCCATGTGCACGGAGCGTATGAGCGCGTATCTTAATAACAGCGACTGCATCGTCTCCTGGGCGGGCTGCGTGCAGCACGCCGAGGGGTTTGGCGTGAGTTTATCGCTCGGATGCGCCACATTCCCGTTCCTCGCTCTACTGTCCTGTGTCTCGCGAGGCGTCAATGTGGTGGAGAAGATCACAGCCAACTTGCCGGCGGACGAGATCATTGAAAAGCTGAATGCAGCAGTGGACCGCAACAACCAGATCTTAGCCACAGCGCGCCACATCCGCCAGCAGCGGACGGAGGCGCAGATCTTGCGTGAACAGCAAGACCAAGAGTACCAGGAATCGCTCGCAGCAGACCGGCGTCGTGAACAGGAGGCACGTGAACAAGCGGAACGGGACGAGAAGGAACGACTGCAGAAAGAAGAAGAGCAACGTCGTGTAGAGGAAGAGAAACAACGTCAAGAAGAGGAGAAAACTCGTCGAGAAGAGGCGTACAAGGCCGAGATTGAAGCCAAACGCGCTCGTATCGCTGACGGTCCAAAGTCGCGCACGCCGCCGCCAGGTGCAGACTACAAGACGGCAGTCATCAAGTTCCACCTGCACAACGGTACTCGTCTAGATCACATTTTCTACGCGCACGACACTCTAAAGACTGTGCGCGACTTCATCGACGTCGAGTTCTTCGACCGCGAGATCTCGATCCGGAACTACGAGTTGGCTACCAATTTTCCCAAGAAAGTCTATGGACCAGAGTTGCTGGACGTCACGCTAACCGATGCGGTACGTTGCTTTATTGAGTTTTTGTTAAGAAGGTGATGCTTATGGGATGGCTAAATTTGTTAACAGGGCTTGGCACCTCAAGCACTGGTGTTCGTGCAAGATCTCGACTCGTAGATACGTAAGCGAACTCTAAATGATGGATGCCAAGTGGGGTTACACCCTTACTGTTACTGCTTGATTAATGGGACAGAGTACTCTAAACGAACTCTAAATTAGAGTGTCTGAAAGTAAAATAGGTATTCAGTCTATAGCTGCAGTGCACGCTGCTTACCGGATGCTGCTCGGTACATACGATCATGCAGAGCAGCAGCCTGTTCATGGGACTCTAAACTCACTCCTGTAATGATCACACGCTCGACACCTTGCACGTTTTCGGACCAACGTAGTGAGTCGAAGATGCGTTGCGAGGCCTCTGCGACGTCTCCAGTCGGTGAGAGATCGAGATAACCTCGTACACGGTCCTTCAAGTTGACCAGCTTGCCGTGGAAGTCAATGACCACCCAGCGGCTCACATCCTCCTTAAGTGAAGCGGCCATTGTCTCAACTGCATCCTCTTGGTACAGATACGTGTCCACGTCTGGAGCATAGTGCGTGATCATCTGTCCAGGAGCCTGTTGAGCCTCCTTGGTCTGCATCTTGGCCTCCTTCTGGATCGTCACCAACTCATACTGGCCACCTAGTAACTCCACGTTTTCCTTAAGTACCACCTCCAAAGCTTGCTCCGACACGCCGCCACGACGGAACACAATCAACTTTCGTTCCTCGGGCACAATCTTCACCACCGTCGACTCAATGCCGACTTCGCAACACCCCTCTGCTGTCGCCTCGATGACACTCAAGTTCTTGCACGCACCCAAGTCGTCCATAACGTGCTTAGCCGTAGTTGGCGACACATGACCGAATCTGTTGGCGCTTGGAGCCGCCACAGGCACCTTAGCTTCCTTCAGTAAAGCCTGTGCGATGGGGTGTTTGGGACATCGGAGTCCGACAAAGCCCGTGTTAGCTGACAGTGTTAGGGGAAGTTCTGGCACGGCCTTAGCAATGAGCGTCAATGGTCCAGGCCAGAAGGCTTTGCCCAGGCATTCGAAAGCCTGTTGGCCGGTCGGTGTCATGTCCACGAGCTTTACGGCGTCCTCCAGAGCGGGGACGTGTACGATCAGTGGGTCTGTGAGAGGCCGCGCCTTGGCTTCAAAAATGGCCAGAACAGCCTCCGGATTGAGTGCGTTGGCGCCCAGACCGTAGACGGTCTCAGTAGGGAAAGATACGAGCTGTCCAAGTCGCAATTGCTGCGCCGCGAAGGCGAAACCTTCAGCGTCCGGTTTGAGGAGACGCGCCATGGTGGATTGGAGGCGATTGCGAGCGCTACAGAGCGAGATGACACGTCGCGAGTGGTGTGAACGGGAGATGAACGTCTTGGCTTGAAGGTGGTGCAAGTTGCAGCGACTGGAGAGCTGCCGCTGCCGATATATAAAGCGATGAGCGAGCCGTACGGACGATGCAGAGAGCACAACGATGTCAACGCGTGCCTTTGGTGGCTGGAAGTAGGGTACAGTGTACCGACGATGGAATCAGGATCTGATTCCGATGAAATGATCACTTCAACCAAATGCAGCCATTCCAATGGATCCCTACATTGTCGTATGGCTCGCTTTGAGCCGCAACGCCACAAGTTGGGTGTCGTATGGCAGCATGTGCGCGAAAGAGCATGGTAAACTCGATAACCTGTTGTGTTCCTCTCCCTCTTCGTTTCCGCGACATAACTCGCTCCACTAAAATCAGCATCTTCAGCTCATTCTCATTTCCACTTTCTAGTGCACAAGTCTCCATTTCAACACTTATCCAGCTACAATGAAGCTCTTCCAAGTCCTCGTCATCGCCGCCCTCGCCGTTGCCGGCGTCTCCGGACAGGCCACTACAGCTACCACTGGTACGACTGGCACCACAGGCGCCAATACCCCGGCAGTGACTCCCGCTACTGGAGCCACCGGTGTCGCCTCCTCCACTAGCGCCACTGCTGCACCCGACGCTAGCACCACTACAGCTGCATCCAACACTGGCGCAACCACGGCTGCCTCTGGAACCGGCGGTACTGCCTCCACCGTCGGCACGACTGGCAGCACTACGACCGACACGTCGGTGGGCGCTTCGAGCTCGACTGGCTCGGTGGACGCGGGTAGCTCAACCACACCGACGACGGACTCGTCTTCGGATCCTTCGACCACTGCGTCGTCGACCACGGGTGACTCGAGCTCTACGGCGGCTTCTGCTTCGGCCAGTGCTTCGGGATCGAGCGGTGCGTCTCAGATCACCATGGGCGCGGCTGCTGCTACCGTCCTGGCCGTCGGCGCCTACTTCCTGTAAGCCGTGAACACCCGACTTCGCCTGCATTTGTGAAATAGTACATGTACATGCAAATACAACACTTCCGTTCCATCAAATATCTGGTCAATTCAGTTTAAGTGAATGCATCACACGTGCCCATCACGCTATCACGTTACCGGATTATCGTTTCCAATGCTGTTGCTACTGCCAGTCGGTCACTTTAGCGACGGCGACGGTCGCGTCCAGGCGAGCGGCGTCTGTCGTCGGCTCCCTTCCGAGCATCCGTGAGGAACTGGTCCAATCCGAACGGGTCGTCGTCGCTGTCTTCACTGGGCGAACGGCGGCGCTTGCGGTTGCCGTCTTTGCTGCGCGAGCGAGAGCGCGATGGAGATCGCCGCGATCGGGAGTAAGACGGCGAGCGGCGACGGCTACGCCCACGCGAGTGCGACGGAGAACGCGAACGCGCACGTGGACGACCACGCTCCCGTGCGTACGAAGGCGAACGCGACGGCGACCGCTTGCGTCCACGCGGAGCCGAACGACCGCGTCCACGTGCGCGCACCGGAGATCCAGATGGAGACCGAACACGTCTTGAACGGGACGCGGACCGGTCACGTCCTCGCGAACGAGGGGGTGATCCGGACGGGGAACGGCCGCGGCCCCGTATGGGCGAACGCGACGGCGATCGCGTCTTCCGCGGAGAAACAGACGGCGACCGACGCACATCAGGAGCTCGCGTCTTGTTCGCGTCTTCGTCCTCATCTTTGACGTTGTCGTACGAGAACTGCACCGGTCCGTCACGACCTCGCGCTGCTTCCGTTCCACGGAACTGTTTGTCTGCCTTGAAGCGTTTCTGGTGTCCTCCCTTCAGTTCCTCGTATTCCTTATCTGCATCAAACGCGCCGTCGTCGCCCTTAGGACGGTACACGCTCGCTTTGCCACGGTCCACCATAGGTTTCGAGTAAACGTTATACTCATCTTCCTGTCCAAAACCCGAACTCATACCCTGCGACTGGTTGAACAACCGGGAGTCGAACATGCCGTCACTACCTCCAGCTTTGCCGCCTCCTTGCAGCTGACCAAGTGCGATCTTTTCAGAGATATCGCGGTCTTCATCACGCGCCAATTTGCCTTTTTTACCCAATTTTTCCATGCGCATTTCGCGTTCGCGCTCTTTTTTGCGCTCACGACGGATCTGGTCCCGTTCGCGTCGTCCTTCAGCGTCACTATCGTCGTCACTGTAGCAACCTGCACTGGACGAACGTCTACGGCTGCGCTCGTCTTCTTCGTCACTGTCCGCTCGGATGCCAGCACGTTCCATCCGAGCTTTGGACGCCAACTCGCGCAGTTCGTTCTCCTTCTGTTCCTTCTGCTTCATCGCCAGCTTTTTCTGCACCTGTGCGCGCATATTCACCTCCTCTCGGGCTTTACGTTCCGCAATGGCCAGAGCTTCCGACAAGCTGGCAAAGTTGTCGTTCACTGTAACCTGTTGCAGTCCCCGTCCATCCGCTGCGAGACGCTTGTCCAGTGCAATAGTGAACCCTTTCGAGTTCTTCCAGTTCGAGATACACGGTGGGATCTTCCACGACTGCTGATCTGCTACTGTGAGTTTCCTAGGAGGAGAATGCAGGACCGGAACAGGTGGAGACGGCGGTCCACGCACAGCTTTAGTATGCTGGAACTTAGGGGGTTCCATGGGGTCTTTAGCCACCTCCACCATGCGGATAATCCGCTGCTTTGAAGCTCCTGAAGCGCCCTGGTCATTGGGCGTATAGCGGATGTACTTGGCTGTCTCTTTAGCGCTCTTCTGGCGCCCTACATTGGTCGGTAAGGAGCTGGCCACTTTTCCCTGTACTAGCGCTTGTAGTGCGTCTCTGGTGCGATTGGCGGTCTCCACTTCTTCATCTCTATCGGGTAATGCCAAGGCCGCTGCATCGCCATCTTTCTCGACGATGTCACTGAATTTAGTGTACACTTTGGTCTTGTCGCGGTGCTGCTGGGTCACGATGGCGTCGTAGCTCACTTTGCCGTCTTCGCCACGTACTTGGAGAGCGAGAGTGTTATTTTTAGACCCATTTCCACCCTTTTTACCCATTCCGAGCGGAAATTGGGCAATGTGGAGCTCCGGGTAGGCGCCGCCGTCGCCGAAGTCTTCATTGCGGCGCGGGACGAACTGCTGCTTTACGCGAAGAGGGTAACGCGGGATTTGGGCGGTGGGTGCACGTTGGGAAGTCGTAGGGGCAGCTGTGGACGAAGGCGCGGTGTCCGAGAAGGTCGTGTACGAGCGCACGGGCGCCGGGAACAGAGCGCTCATAGCGGCTGATGGCGATAGGGACTGGCAGTTAGAATCCCAGCTTTGTGTGAAAATGGTGTGGTAGACTCTGATTGGTAAATGCGATATAGTCGATCGTATCGGTTTTAAAAGGGTTAACCGCTTCAACTTACGTGACTTCTTCGTAGCATTTTTCTCTTCATTTTTCTTCATTCTTGTTAATAAAGATACTTTCTATTACATCCATTGCGCTCATGCTACCGTCCGTATACTGCTGTGTTGGCAGATTGGGCGAGAATGCCATAACCTGGTGCTGTATCGAATCCATTCCGGGCGTCAAACCCTTCCGCTGAACCAAAGTGGATGTTGCAGGTCATTGGTGCCGGAGTTAGCAATGAGAAGCATCCAGGGTTTGGACATTGCGGAACGGCTTGAGACGAGCGAGATGAAGCAGAGGTCAAGTCAACACTGGTTATTACCACTGCTTACGAGAGGTGACACTCTAAGAAACGTGCGTCAAAAGGTTCAGCTCAAGTATTTCCCGACTAAGCGGTTCTTCGCGCTCTGCTGGCGCACGTCGACGTTCAACCTCACACATTTTGACGATCGTTCTCAGTCTCGCTATCTTCTACAGTCTACGTTTTTGAGTGGGCAGAGGTCTTGTTGGAGGTGTGGAGTTGATCTTCGTGTCGACACTGTTCATTGCAGCGGATGGCTTCTTGGGAACGCTACCTGTGTGCACGCATGACCGCACGGCATCCTACCACGAACGTGTTTCCTGGACGTATAATTCGTTATGGTGTTTTATCGAGACGACGCTGGTGGAGATCCCGTACGTATTCGCCAGTGTTTGCTATTCATCGCCATTCAAGTCTTTTCGACGGCGTCACTGTACTTGGTGCACTTAACCCTGTTCGAAGTGTCTTGTGCGGATCTTGATGTCGCTCGCATTCTGCGATTGCTCGGAGGAACCGACATGAAGCGAAAGTCTCAGCCGGTACGAGAACACGAGCTCGCATCTTGGTTGTCAGCCTTAAGCGGAGGCGCCATTCATAATTTATCACGACAGCCAAAGGCTAAGATCGATGAACGCTAGGCAAAATCTGGCTACGTGTTTGCTGCTATCGCCATCTTCCACATCCTATCGATACTGTCATTGCGCTACATTAGCCACAAGAAGAAGCCTTGGTCTCTTGTGCCGATTGAAACTGTTTTTAGGGGGATGACAGTTGGGATCCTAACTCTGAGCTTGCTATCCAGTTTTGTTGCGTCTGCTTCTCTTGGACGACTAGACTGGCATAGTAGGAGGCGTACCGAAAGCTACATTGCACTGGGTTCTAGATGACAGGGTCTGGGAGGCGATACCTGGGCTGCACGCAGCTAAACCCAGCACTGATCTTCTCCACATCATTCATTCGTCAGGTCCTTATCGAGATGACGGTAAGACTTCCAGTGAGTCCGATAGCGCGAGCCTTCACCACTACGATGCCACCAAGCGTTTTTCATCGATCTTCGCCTTGGGCACCGTCATCTCCAAAGGTGTAGTAGATCGTTCCTTATGTAAGAGGTGGTGCACATGCTCCTACACAAGAGCAGTGTAGCTAAGGCCGATACAAGTAAGGAGCAGCACACAACACCGATGATACCTTTCGTTTCATCAGCACTTGGCGCGTCCTTCACAACAGCCTACACCCTGAAGTATACCAGAGAATACCCTCCGATGTATCTACAAACTCTTTTTCGACTACCTGTTCGACTTAGACTCTCTCCGATCTCTTGGTTACAAGTAGTTGATTAAGTTGCAACATACTTGTGGTCAGCAAAACTTGTATTCGCAAAACCAAACGACAAGACACTACACTAATCGACAAAGGATACGCTACAGCTCCTTCAGCTTCCTGTCTTGCTTCAAGATGCCTAGATGAGCTCTTTCGTTCGTTCACTCCTCCGAACGGAGTTTGCGGTACGCCTTCTGAGACGTGGCACTCGTGCCGCCGGTTCCAACCTTCGCACCGGCATTCGGGTTCGAGTTGGCGTTCGCCGATGCGCTCGCGGTGGCGCTCGCAGACGCACCACCCGTGCCGGTCGACGTCTTCGCAGTGTTGGCACCATCATTGCTCGTCACGCTCACAGTCTTGCTCGAGTAGCCGTTGCCGTTGCCGCCGGTACCAACGCCGACGTCAACCCCGTCGTGCACAACGGTGGCAGGTGCACCAACATGAACACCATTCACTCCGACAACAGGAGCAGCACCCACACCCACACTAGCGACACCTGGGACGCCTACACCAACACCGACGCCATTCACGCCCACGCCAACGCCATTTACACCCACACCAGGTACACCGACACCGACGCTAGCAACGCCCGGTACGCCGACACTAACGCCTGGGCCGACGTAACCGGGGCCGCCCACTCCGACACTAGCGACTCCCGGAACACCCACACCGACACCAGGGACACCGAGTAGTCCGAACGTCTCGGCCACTTGCTTCTCGGCATGCGCACTGTTGGAGAGAGCTAAGACGGCGAAGCAGAGCGCGAAGATCTTGTTGTTGCTGAACATGATTGGTGGAGAAGGGAGGTTGGTCCGATGAAACGAGTAGAGGGCTTGCTCTTGGGGGAGTTGGTTCGAGTGGATGAGCTCGAAGAAGTGAATTTGAGAATGAGATGAGAGGGACAACCGGCTCGAGAGGGGGCAAGAAGCATAAATAGGAGACAAAAAAGCGAAACCGAAACGAATCATAAGAATACAGATCGTAAGATAAAGAGACGAAACACCATGTCACCCGGAGAAGAGTAACAATGAGGCCAACCCAGGACAGAACAGCACGTGGACAGAGGATACAGGCACCGTCACAACCACGACCACAGAAAAAAATCATAAAGACATTCACGACTCCAGACCAACAGACAACTACAATACAGGAAACACAAAACTTAACAGAAATCAACTGAAAAACAAACAGACATTAGACGAACAAAGAAAGAAACCCAGCACAGTGCCCGGAACTGCGAACCCAAGCGCGGATGCTTATTAAATCGATGGAAACCAAGGGGCGTAGACAAGATAATGAAGAGAACGGAGAACAGACAACAAGGAACCACACTACGAGCGGCAGCTCGACTCACGACCCTCAAAATCACCGCAAAAGCACCCCAAGCCATCCCATAAACCAACAGACAAGCACTACCAAACAAAAAAAACACAAAAGAGCCTCAGTAAACCGAAATAAACAACACCAGGACTACCAGCCCCAGACACTACAACACCACAACACATACCCACACGACCACAAAAAGAACCAACACCTCACAAAGCACAACTCATTCTCAAATTCACTTCTTCGAGCTCATCCACTCGAACCAACTCCCCCAAGAGCAAGCCCTCTACTCGTTTCATCGGACCAACCTCCCTTCTCCACCAATCATGTTCAGCAACAACAAGATCTTCGCGCTCTGCTTCGCCGTCTTAGCTCTCTCCAACAGTGCGCATGCCGAGAAGCAAGTGGCCGAGACGTTCGGACTACTCGGTGTCCCTGGTGTCGGTGTGGGTGTTCCGGGAGTCGCTAGTGTCGGAGTGGGCGGCCCCGGTTACGTCGGCCCAGGCGTTAGTGTCGGCGTACCGGGCGTTGCTAGCGTCGGTGTCGGTGTACCTGGTGTGGGTGTAAATGGCGTTGGCGTGGGCGTGAATGGCGTCGGTGTTGGTGTAGGCGTCCCAGGTGTCGCTAGTGTGGGTGTGGGTGCTGCTCCTGTTGTCGGAGTGAATGGTGTTCATGT